TTTACACATTAGGATGCGATAGGATGGAGTGCAAGAGAAAAGATATGTAAAAAACAAAAAATAATTCGAAAGTAAAGTTGAAACAAGGCGTGATGTTGTGTGAACAAATCACAAATCACTTTTCGGCTTTAGTATCCAAAAAGACATTTTCCAATCCAGCTTTACAACATCTAAAAAGAAAAAATAAGGAAAGCAATGTTCCATGGAACTCTGAAAAAGTCACGATGATAATGTAGGGATTATTCCGACAAGAGGTACTCCTAAGTTCTTTTAGTAGAGACGAGGACTTTCAAAGTACTCTACTGCAATCTTTCACACAGGAATAGAAGAAGAAGAAGAGCTGTGATCGATATTCTTCCCTACTTAGAACACGATTAACGCCAGCTTCCAAAAGAAGAAAAAAGGAAGATGATCAAAAGCTTTGCTGGGTCTGCACATTGGTTGCAACCTATGGATTAAAGATGCTCATTACATCGCAAGTTGGATTCATACGATTGAGTGTCGATGAACGCTAAGGACAATTGCTACTGCTGATGAAAAGGATGGAAAATTGAGATATCGGGTATTAGCTAGTGCACTAATCTCCAGCCATTGCAAGAAAGATGAGTCGCCATATATACACAGATGAGATCTCTTCTGGATTATATATAGACATAATGCAATAACTGTGTTTGACCGCGGAAATTCATGAAAATACTGAGGTGAATTCAGGCTGACAAGTCTGATATGTTACTACAAGACTGACAGTTTTGAGAGTCAATTTCATAAAAATCAACAGAGCTCGTTCAACTACATGGGTCAAGTTATATCATGATTACAAGGGGGCTCGTTTCTATTATAGCACTTTCTAAGCCTCAATAACATTCCTACAGCCTGCAGCATAATTTCCAAAGCAACTTCTTACTCAACTTAAAGGAGTCAAAAAAGTGAATAAAGTGTCGCCACGTAAATTATTCAATAAAAAGAGAAGTGTACTGTTTCAACCTTTCAAGCAATGGCTTTTAAGTCTTTTCTTTTTGCATAAGATGACGTCTGCAGTCAATAGTAATACCAGTGGTAGGGCATCACTAAAAACTGGAGCAGTATTATTCTTAAAGTCTGACGCAGAAAATTTTGTACCACATTCCCAACGGTCATTAGATGCTATGGTATTTCTCCCATAACAGCCAGTGACTGCTGGGAATGTGATACAAAGATGCTTGAGAATAAAAACAAGATGAGTTTGAGCAATGAAAACGTCTGCATTCAATCTGTTTGAGAGCTTATGGTTACCTTCGTGCACGCAACGCACAGTCGAAAACAAGAGTTTTCACGCATTTCTAAGAGTCTGTGCTTAAACTGACATCTGCTTCGAAATACTGTAGTCAAGTACTTCGCAATTAATCAAGAATGATTTCATTAAATAAGTACTTTCCAAGCCGTTAATATTGTTAGCATAACTGCTCCTCAGGCTCAATTTATAAACGCATAATCCTGAAGGTTTACAATAGCATTTCAGAGAGAAAACAGATCAGCTCAGCTATACTGCGATCAGTACAAAACAAACGAATATGTTAAAGTCTTTCAATGTGATCTTCAAAAAGGCTTTTAAAAAAACTCTAGCGATTTTTGTCACCAGAATTTCCGAAAGGTAGAAGAATAGCAAGAAACCAAGCAAAATCGACGCAGCAGTCTCTATGGCATTTGAGTAATCTAGATGGTCGTTTCAGCGAATGGCTCATAATAATGTTGGTGCTGAAATAAATCTCACAGATAACGACAAGTAGTAAAAACCTTTAACATATTATTGATGTGAATTAAACTGGAGACGTCAACGTGCAATCAAGGTTCTTAGTAAACTATGGCGACCAGGGCTCCATGGTTTATTCAGGTTTTCACTGGA